GACATGAGGACAATGCTATCCGTCGAACAGATCACTTCATGACTATAGATAATTCTAAGGTGGAGCAAAGAGATGCCATTTGAGTGAACTCGACGGGGATGCACTATACCCCGTTCAACCGCTCTTCAAGATATTCCTATAGTAATAGGGGAAAGGTATAGATAAGGAAGCTCTTTCGGAGGTTCGCGGGATCACCCATGAAGTACATATGTTCTCACTCACGAAAGTGTTGAGGTGGTGTTGGTTGTACAAAGCTGTGCCACATTGCCATGCGTTGGTCGTTGGATCGCCACCCAATTACTACTATACGTGCCGCCGGACACAGTCTCCCAATCTGGTCTTCCAGGATCACTACATCTTTGAATTCTCTTCCGCTCCAGCTGTTCCAGCGCATATTCTTGGCGGGAAAACGGGACGACCTCTTAGGAATGTGCTTCAACCGGCAAATTTTTTTTTGGAAATCTCTAACTACCTTCTATCCCAAAGAAGTGTTCGGGGATTCATTGGTGCGACCCTGCCGCGGACACGCCTGATCTATGTGCTTTACACGACTTTAGTTACTGGTTCTTTGAACTTTGAAGAAACCCACTACTTTCGCTAAGTTGTCCGATTCTCTACCTGGTCTCGTTGTCAACCGAATGTTCATGCTCGGCGAGCCCAAACTCGGTAGTGTGGTCTTTCCGTAGGTCAATGTGCCTGTCGATGAAGGTAACAAAAAAGCCGATCGCTGATATCCCAGCAATGGACATCGCAGTTCGCATACCTACATGTACGTATCTTGTGTAACATGAAAAGTAAACTGATCAGCCAGATGATAGATCACATATAACACGCAAAAATGGCAGGTGCTTTACTGTCCTACCCTACCCTTAGTACTCTACTTTCCTCCCTTCCAAGATTCCTACTATGTACTATGTACATACTTCCCTCTCTTCCCGCCCGCATCGATCAAGCGTTCCAGGCTGTGGATGTCTGGCATACTACGAACATTTACATAAATCATGATCCTACCTACCTACCTACTTAATACATCAGCAAGGCTCCATACACTCTAGCTAAGTGATCATCTTCGTGATATCTATATAGCCCCCGAGCTCCTTTGTGTAGGGACCACGCCGGACACGCACAGCGTTGCTTACATGAAGTTGTTGCAGCCGCTACTATAGCTCAGGCTCGGCCTTCCCTCTCCCAACAAAAGTACTGTAGGTCCAGCGGCAGTCCATCGGGTCCCATGATCATATCAAAAAATATCCAGGTTCTAAAATGCTTCCAGCTTACTTTCTTCTTCTCCTACTTCGGCTAATTCTCCAGGCAAAGGCAAATAAATACAAGCGCGAAGATGCCAGGCAAGGACTTGTACGAGCCGTCGGCCTACCCGCCATCTCAGACTGCCCTCATGTTCCTTGACTACCAGAACATTCTCGTCAGCATGGTGCCGAGCCCGACCAAGGAGACGCTCGTCAAGGCGGCCGAATCGCTTCTCGCGGCAGCTCGTAAGAACAATGTCGCCATCCTTCACTGCATCACGGACACAGACTCAGAGCCAGTCGCGACCAACAAAGTCGCCGCGACGTGGGATACCCAGTTCAAGCCTGTCTTCTCCGCTAATCCCCAGCTGGGGGCCGAGTTCGCCGCCTTCGCTCCCACCAAGCATAGCACCAGCCGCGAGACTGTACACTTGAGAATCCCCGGCAGCCGGTCTGTTTTGGCAGGTGAGCGGGTCGTGCCGTATCTACGGGAAGAACTCGGCGTGACCCATCTCATCCTCGCCGGCATCGCGACTAGCGGTGCTATCATGGGAACCATGTCGCATGGTACGGACATAAACTTCGTCGTCACTGTCGTTGCAGATGCCTGCTGGGACCCGAACGCGCAGGTCCATCGTGACCTTATTGATACGGTCATTCCTAGCCTGGCTTGGGTATCCTCTGTTGAGCAGGCTGTAGGTTACATGACGGGCGGAAGATTGACCGATACTTGAAGGTTGCCTGTCGATACTGTTGCTGATCAAAATATATACAATCAAGTCCAGTCAAGTTGGAAGTCGCTTATGACTGCTTCTGCAAGGCATGAGAATCTTACTCAGATTCTCAAGTCGATGTACAGCATAAATGTTCTCGTAGGCATCGCCGACCATCGAGAGTAGTAATATGCGTCTGGACCACGGGATCATGGCTTAAGAGGTGATGATGTGATGTCAGTTACCTACAGCCTTGTTATACGGGAGGAAGCACGGGAGGGGTAAAATCATAGAGGTGGCTAGATGACGCAGCTACCTACCGATGTATTTACCATGGCTCCTGACATACTGTGGTACCAGTGTTTGTATTGTCCCATATTCAGTCCCGGCAGCTTGGCCTGACAACTGGACGCCTAGGTACCGAACCGCAAAATGTACTCTGCTGTGTAGCGCTTAATCAGGTCAATTGATTGATGATACAGTTTGTAACTGTATTGAGCGCTGTTTGAGGATATGTGACAAGCTTGAAAGCACAATGGCTTGCTAGTAGAAGGGCTGAGTGGTTGAGTGTTTAATATGTAGTTGAGTTTGGTGTGGTAAAGTTAGCGCGATTTCTATGTGGCGTGGTAGCTCTGGCGCCCAGGATGCCAGATTTATAGGAACTCAAATAACACCACCATGGGCCCTGGTCCATAAGACCCGTAATCCGCCAAACGGCAATTTGACCATAAACCTTTGAAATTGCCTCATTCGTCTAGAGGGCCCACTATTATTTCAGGGCACTACCCCCTGAAGCTCGCTGTAGCTATAGGGGCTATAGCGCATCGCATCGCTGTAATTATAGTGGTTAGTTCAACCAATCAAATCGCGTAAACCTTAAAAGCACCTCCATAAAAGCTATAAGGCATACCTCACTAAAGCCAACTATAAATATAGTGGACATAGCGCATGTATGTACTCCGTATTTGGTCGCACTGTGCAATTATAGGGGTCAGTTATAGTGGTTGAGTGAGATCTATTGAATGACTCTTGAATAACCGGGTCGCATCATTTGAATAATTCTACTACTGCTACGAAACCTATATCATTCAATTCGCATTTGAAGGCCCTCCAGAATGATACCAGTATCTTGTTACTTGAAGCGTTCAATAATGCGCTATCTGGGGTTGATTTGATACAAGATGTAACCTACATGTACTTACATGTAAGGAAGGCATTCCCACGCGCCCTTTCAACACATACCCGTAAGCTACCACATTCAATATATCACAGAACAAAGCCCAATACACATGAAACTTATATCAATCAATTGCCCCGATCAAGCTCTACAAACACATATAGCTTATGATATATGAATGGCGTTGATCAAAAGGTTATAAGAGGTATTTACGTACCTACACTGCTAAACGTGAGAGTGGCATACTTAGGTGCCTTATCCGAGATAATTATAGTGGCTTTAGTGAGGTCACTATACTCACTATAATTACAGCGAAACAATGCGCTATACCCCCTATAGCTACAGTGGACTGCCCTGTAATAATAGTGGGCCCTCTAGACGAATGCGGCAATTTCAAAGGTTTATGGTCAAATTGCCGTTTGGCGGATTGAAGGGCTTATGGTCCAGAGTGCCATTGTACAGTTTGAACGGGTGCGTCAAGCGCATGAATCTTGCTGATTTGGTAATCTATTTATTGACACTTTGGTCAATTGATTTGGCCCAGATTTCGTGAAGTTAAGGCCAGAAACACCGGTGGAACACCGCCACTTTACTACAAATTATTACATATATGTATAAAAACCACCAGCATTCCGAAACAATGTTTGCGCCTCCGCGCATAGCAAGAGTCATCTCAACCGAGCTACTCGTACGTTCTTGAGCGATTTGGCGAGATGAGAAATGCTAAGGCCTTTCCCAGGACAACAAGGACGCCAAATGGATTAACCTCGTCAAGTCAGTCGCCATTCTGACCAGCATACGCTTTCATGAATTCGTAGTACTACTACACCATGCAGATTACTGAAGCTAGGTAGCTAGCTAGCAGTTCCCTTCTAATGCAGCGTGACACAGAATCACGTACGAGGATGAGAATGGCGATGTCCGCACCTGGGAGGCCATGAGACGCCCCAATCGGCCAAAAGCCAGCGCCGTCGATGCCATTCAGATAATTGGCGTCCTTCATAAACCCACTGGCCCGGAGCTGCTCCTCGAAAAGCAGTTTCGCGCGCCCGCGGGCAAGATAGTAATCGAGTTCCCGGCCGGTTTGGTTGACGAGGGTGAGACTGCCGAAGAGGCGGCCCTGCGCGAATTAAGAGAGGAGACCGGCTATGTTGGTGAAGTGGTGCCCGATCGTGCTGGCTCGCGACCGATTCTGTTTAGCTGTGAGTTCCGTCGCATGAATCTGGGGACCTATAGGTACTAATGTCCACCAGCCCCTGCTTCCTCAAGGTAAATCTCATCACCAGTAGATATATCTAACCTAAGTTGTTAGCTCATCGTGTACTCAGCTCGAGCACGTTTCTCATCCACCTCAAGATTGACCCCGACAAGGAGGAGAACCGGAACCCGAAACCGCAACTCGAGGATGGCGAGTTCATCGAGTGTTTCTGGGTGCCATTGAGAAACCTGTATGATCAGTGTAGAAAATTGGAGGCCCAGGGATTTGCTATTGACGGCAAGGTGGGAGTCTTCGCAGAAGGTCTTGAGATGTCGAAGATATGGCCGGCTTGACAGCATTCTTTCACAAACAATACTAGTCATCAATACTTTGTAGACATTCTAATTTGGAGACTTTACTACGAAAAGATTGAGTGCTATACTCCATTTTCCAGAGTAGCAGAAATGCGGTGGACGACAAGGTAGTCAAATCCAACAAGGCCACATCCGCAGCAACTCACTCAACTCTTGGCTAACTGAAATCGCGATAAATCTTCATGAAACAAAATATCGAGCAATAATTCAAAAAATGAATTACAACTACACAAATTAAAGAAGATGCCCTTTGACAATCTCCATGAATGGCATTTTTGAAAAAAGTGATTGTGACCATCCTGGGGCTCGAACCCAGAATCTCCTGATAACTCGTCAAGTATGTTTACATACTCGGTCGTAGTCAGACGCCTTACCATTGGGCCAAACGGCCTTACAACTTATTTGCCGAATTCTTCCGTTGCTTGTGAATTGGACCTGTAGTACGGCTTATATTTGTCGGATGATTAGCTCCTCGTAAGCCCGCTACGCTACTGCACGACAGGGTCCCCTCTCATTGGTCTACTACAGCTAAATTGCTTAGCCAAGGCCTCGTATGGTAAGGGGCAAACACTTCCATATTCCTCCATTCTCAACATCTTTCAGATCCTAGGGATTGTTTTATTCAAGTCCGTAGGTTAAGCTGCTTGAATCAAGTACCTGTCTAACTGGTATGGTGTGGGGAGATGATAGCTACAGCATTTTTCGCGCAATGAACACCTGGCCTAGGCATACCTAATGTCCCGCACCCACCAAGCTCATGATGGAACTACTCATACGAGCAAAGGTACAAGTAACGCGATATCTGACTTCAACATGGTAGGTAGACCCCGAAAGACTCATCGTCTATGAAGAGTCAATGTCTAAATAGAGACTCTAAGGAGTTACGCAGGCCAGCTTATGAAGCTCTGATGCTAACAGTGGCTTGGCAACCAATTTCAGGTACTACCTACTCAAGCCTCTGTAGTTTTCACTACGTTGTTTACAATCTGGCGCCTCAGCTAACGAGAGCAAACGAGATCCTGAAAAAATATGAGCGTGAGCATGCCTACACCTAACATCGCATATTAAATACCAAATTAATATGAGATACTTTATGTTGAAGGGGCATCGGACAAAGGGAGGGAGGCATTTGCTCCGGCTGTGCAACGACAGTATACACTGAGTCACCACAGTTGTACCAATAAATCATCGACCTGATTCTAGGTGATGACCGTCGAAAGCATAATACGGACCTACCAAGGTCAGTCGAAGGCAGGTTAGGATGGGAGAGCGGGCAAGTCGTCTACACTGCCTACCGCCTTGGGCCAAGGCCAGTGATACAGATAGTAATGCCATGTATGTTTTTGCAGCAGCCGTCACTAATTTATACGTACTATAATTAACTTTTTGAGATATTTCCGTTCCTGACGTCCCTACGGAATTTCTATCAAGACCTACCCCCTATTCAGACTTCATAGGCACTGCCATGCGAGGAACATCATGGCTTTGGCGTTTGAGGCAGATATATTAAGTATTAATCCCTCCATACATATCGTCCTTACTCTAAGACCAGCATGTAGATTCGGATCCTACGTCAAGCCTGTTCCTTCGGCGGCTATAATGGACACGAGGGAGCAAGTCACATTATACCCAAGGACACGCACGAACTCCTAATCACAGTCTGGATGTTCCCGAGCTATAGTTTCTCGTGACAGTATATGGAGAACATTCTTTTTGATATCTTCCCTCCAATATAACACCAGGTTCTCTCCCTTTCACCAAAGCTCTTCACCACCACCAACACCAACGCCCAGTTCTCGGAACCCAAAGCCATCTATCTACCCACCAACAGACGCACCATTCAAACAGTACAAGACCTCTCACACTCAACAAGTCAACTCCCGTCTCAGAGAGCAGACCAGAAACCCCCCACCCCCAAGACAAACTCGGCATACCTACCACCTACTCCGAAGCAAGCAACCAACAGCCAGCTATCCACCAACGCAGGACACCGCGGCCACCATGCTGAGGGTACAAGGCGACCTCCTCTGGCGCTGCCCGTGCGGCCGCTGTAACAGGCTCAACACCAACACATGCGTGTGTAAAAAGTCCGTGCCGCCCAAACCCCCGACCCAGATCGCGTATCAGGGTGGCCGGAATAAACCCAAACCCTCCCCCAGGGCTTAGGTGGGGTTGGGGGCACCGCCTGGGGATAGTACGGGTACCTGGAGGTCGACGGACATTGCAACTACCTCTCCTCGGGCAAGATGAGAGACGGCATGGGGGCTTCGGATCGTAGGAACTGAAGCTGGTGTTTTGGACTGGGCACGTCTGTCTCGGACGGCCACGGCCGGGCTTATGGGAATACCTATGGAGATAATACATAGATTGTCGATAATCATGCACCTTCTGGTTCGCATCGTGACAATGTTGACATCGCATCTTCCATCCTAGTGCAGCACGACTGAAGAAGTGACATTGAACCAGCCAAAACAGTAGATAATTCTAGGGAAACAGATACTGGACAACCTCGCTTTATCCATTCTCCCTTGCGATTTCAAGAGCAGTCTTGAACAGCGGACTCTTCGGTTCCGTGTTCGCCCCTGCGTCGACCAGCATAGCCACGACATCCAAGTTTCCGATCTGACAAGTCACCATCAACGGCGTCCAGCCGACCTTGTACACTCTCTCGATCCGAAAGATGCACACGCATCCAGAGGGATGTCGACGACCTCAATGTCGCCGCGATATGCCTCATACATCAGCGGTGTCCAATCGTGCTGGCACCTGATCTCAGGGTCTGTGCCAGCGTCCAGCAACATCTTCATGATATTTACCTACGTAACCTCTACTTGTCGCTTCGACCAAGGCGGCCCGCCGATCAGGTGAAAGGTTGTTGACGTCGGCGCCGTGGTCCAGCAAGAACCCAGTACAAGCTTCGTCGTTGCATTTAGTAGCAAGCATAAACGATATCCAGCCGTGCTTCGATATCGCGTTGATATTGGCTCCGTGGGACAGCAGGACCTCCATGATCTCGTAGTTGCTCGCAGTACCTAGAAGCCAGGATGAATGCAGGTGAGGCCCGTCTCTTCCCCCTCTTCCACGTCACAGAGGCGCAAGATAATAGCAATAACGAAAATCGCCAGATAGCGCTGATAGGAGTCAAACTCTAGGCTGTCCAGGTATCTTCATGGCAAATGCACATTCACGAAATATGAGACTTGTCCTACTGCCTGACTGTCTTGTTTGGTCTTGAAGAAGTACCAATTCTGGCCGATTATATGTATCTAGGTACTGATCCACGCACGCAAAAACACCGCCGATGCAACTTCTTTCTTTCTACTCGATCGTGCGCCTCGTCCTCGTCTTGTTTCATCTTATATACACACGTACACAACAAGGGAGTAGAAACGGGGGGTTGCAAGATACCTATTCCGGCCGTCGCCCAAGGGGTCTTCCACCTCGCACACCACATTGTTCTCTCTCTCCTACACATCTTTCTCACTCTCCGTCTCTCATGCCATCCATGCCGTCCATGCCACGCGCGGTATGCTATCACATCCAGGTTTCGAAAATCCTGTCCTGGTCTTTTGTAGAAACGCCCTGATTTCGACCGTCCTGGCCGCCTGCTGAAAAAAAGGCTTGAACAGTCAAATAACGGGAAAAGAAGAAAAAAGCGGCAATGAAGTCCCCGCCAACCTTCATTCGTGGTACTGACAACTCTCGACGTTTAAAAAAGGTATGAATTTACCCCTGAGTGACTGGCGATGACAATGAGCTTCATCTAGTACGATCTCGACTTGGGAAAGAAGTCTCATGATGCAACAAAACTTGAGAGGTCTGATTCTTTGTGGTCTGCGTCGTCATCCCGTCATATAAACCCTTCCAGTGACTCCATGCACCCCAGAAACACCAACACCAACGCCGCCGCAAATGAAAGAGGATAGAAAAGTTAGTCGTCCAAAGGATCGAACCGGTTTCTCAGCCGAGACGACTACCGTAGGGTCACGTGAATCGTTCGTTCGGGATTATATGAGCGTCGAACGCTCGGATATCACGTTGATTGAAGATAGGGTCAATTGGGAAGCTTCATTCAGTACACACTGCTGTGTAAGGTTCGCCGTAGGAAGATATAGATCAGAGGTTTTCTCAGTCATGCTCACGGACATGATTGTCCTTATGATGGGCGAAAGGTGACTTGAAGGATTTCCCCCTCGTCCGCCTCCTTATGCGGCTGACGATTCCGTTACCTTCATGCAGCTGCGAGGGACCACCAGAATGGGTTGACTCAAACCGGCTCAGCATGGCAGCTGACGTGAACTCGTTGGTGAATTCGTAGCTCTGCCGGACTCGGTCCATTGAAGCTCGCATCCGGTCGTAGGATGGCCGTACACGATCGAATGACTGCCGTACCGGAGGATCCGAGGGTGGATCTGCAGGCTGACTTACGGCCACATCAATCGAGGGTTCGTGTCTAGTATAATTCGTGCCGTCGCTGCCATTTTGGCTCCGGGGGTTGTGCCCAGCAACGGACTGTCCCGTGACGGAGGGTGGGTAGATAGGCCGAAGATCTTCATCCACGCTCGCCAATTGCTTGTGCCGTCTTATGCGAGACGACTCAGAAGAGCCTGACGAGCTGGATTTAACTAGTTCTTCCTTCACCTCCTCCTTCTCCAGTTGCTTAAACTTGCCCATCGTAATCTGTTCTCGGATGATATCGACGTCACGGGGCCAGTAAACCTTGCGAAGGGCTTTAATGGCGTACCGGGGGGCCAAGCAGATGATGGGACTGGCGATGCAACAGGCCCAGAACGAGGCCTCTCCATAGACCTGCGGAGCAGCTTCGTAGAACTGAGCCGAATACGTCGATGAGGTATATACACCGGTCCAGAAGAACACCAAGAGGTCGCTGATGACAATGATCAGGAGCGTGAGCCAATCCCATCGGTAGGTATTGATGAGAATGTAGAGATTTATCGTAATCACGGACGGATGAAGCATGTAGGCGCCAAATCGCAGTCGATCAGTAACATCCAGTCCGTTCCCAGAGACAGCTGTCGCAGACCGCGAGACGGCCAGATACGGGATGAAAAAGCCTATGACACTTTGGTAGGCACCGTCAAGCATGTACAACCTGTTTTATGTTAGTAAATCGGCTGGAACATAGATGGAGGGGGATGCTTACCAAAACTTGTGCTGTGTCCATTCAAGGCGCTCAATACCGCGCCGATATAATTGGGGGACAGCCAAGGAGACTGCGTCCGACACATCTTGGTCGAGAACGCCAATGATGATAGGGGGAACAGAGGTGAAGATGAGATTGAAAAGGAGGAGATACGTGTACTCGAACAGGTACGTGATGTCGAAGTTGCAGAAGCATTGGTACCATAGGATGGTCAAGGTCCAGATCAT